AGAGAGAGAGAGAGAGAGAGAGAGAGAGAGAGAGAGAGACACTCCACTCTCCAAATACAAAATATATACCTATAGCCATGCCCACAGGACTCACCTTCTCTAGCCACATCCTATCTGCTTTCAGTTACCACTCAGTTAATCCCATCAGGGGGATTGATTCACTGATTGGGTTTAGGCTTTCATATCCCAATCATTTCTCTTCTAAATCTTGCATCGTCTCACACATGATCTTTTGGGGGACACCTTACATCTAAACCATAACACAGGCAGACCCTCATTTGAATTTCACAAGGTGCAAGTCTCTGCTAATCTCTTCACTGTTTTCCAGAGCGAAAGAGCAAGTGGACTAATCTGTGTTGCAAATTATGGTGTTTGCTAAACTGTATATGTGTGTTTGTGTGTGCTCATGCATGTATGTGCATGCACACACAATCTGTGTGCTCTGAATGTTAGAAAAATATTAATGTATCCATTGTCACTATTCCAGATTTTTACACAATCATTCAATTTGTTCTGAGACCTGCTGAGGGCAAAGATCTTGTATAAATATGAGATGGATTGATGCTTCACAAGAACCCATGCTTTTCTTTTTGGGCAGTAGTATAGGATAGTGTGACAGGCTTAACAAACCCTAGATCAACTTTTTAAGTTAGGAAGGGAAGCATTGTCCCATACATTACTGATGGGAATATAAAGTGGAATATAATATCAAAAGGCTAAACATTGTATCATCATTATCATATAGCAGTTCCACTCTTAGGTATAGACACAGGAGAACTGAAACATACATCCACCAAAAAAGTGTACATGAATGTTTTTAGCAGCATTATTAATAATAGACCCAAAGTGTGAACAACACAAAATTACATCAACTGATGAATAAATAAATAAATAATATGTGGTCCATCCATACAATGAATATTTGAGCAAAAAAGGGATGAAGACTAATGTATGCTATAATGTGGGTGAACCTTGAAATGTTAGACTACATGAAAGAAGCCAATCATAAAGGAACACATATTGTGTGGTTCTGTTTACATGCAATGTTCAGAATAGGCAAATCCACAAGGACAGAAAATAGATCAATGGTTGCCAGGGTTTGGGGAAGTGCAAATGTGGAGTGAATGTTAATAGGCATGGGATTTCATTTTGGAGTGATGAAAATGTTCTAGAATTGATTGTGGTATCGGTTGCACAACTCTGTGAATGTAATGAAAAGCAGTGAATTGTACACTTGAAATGGGAAAATTGTATAGGATGTGAATTATAGCTCAATGAAGCTGTTAGCTAGCTAGCTAGCTCTATATGGACATTGGTATTGTCAGCCCCTTACTATGTGTACCAGGACAATCCTCTGTACTTCTCAGAAAGATGCAGACTGTCTGCTCTGCAGATACTATCTTCTCTCTGTGTGCAAAACATCAGGTAGCTTTTGCTTTTCTCTCAGAGAAGTACATAATTCTATTTTCCCTAAATAGGAAAAATAATGGTTCAATCATGAACGAGTAGAAAGTAAACCTCATTTTTATCTACACTTAATAATATAATTGTAATATTTTTATGACATCTGAACAGTTACAATTTAGGACCCCAAATAATTGCTTAGACGGTTTAGACTGTCAGCTCTAATAATCTTAGAGCTTTAAGAAGTTTGAGGAGTGTGGCAGCTCTATTTCTTAGCCGCTGAGCACTTGGAAGAAAAACTGGACTAATCATCACATGTAGTGATCCATTAGGATGCACTTGCAAATCTGCTTAAAACTGATTTTCAAAACCTTCCTTAATTTTTGTTTTTTTTTTCTTTCTGGCTCAAGATTTTGCATAAATGATATTTTGCATTATCAGGACCAATGGAGTGCACTTAGTTGTCTTTTTAATTCTAATTGGGAGCTAAATATTTTCATATCTGTAGACTGGAATTTAGATTCCAAGTCCTAGAAACAGCAGTATTGTTGCTGAATTAGGAATCTAAAAGAATGCTGTGAGACACTGAATGAGCATGAGGATTTGGGGGTGGGAAAAGACATCCACTTAAGGTACTTTGCCCTAAGATCTTAATGACCTTACAAGGAAAGCATTGGATGGGCATGTGTAGGTGGCCTTATTCCACTTCCTTCCTCTTATGTACTCGATACTTAATGAATCCATCTGGAACGATGGTAATTTGCTCACTGGGACAGATTTTCCGGGGCACTGATGGCTCCAGGTGGCAGGCAGGCCATAACCACCACGTGTTAAATGCAAAGTATTCTTGCCTTCTCCTTCATGGCCTTTCAGTTTGCAAGGCATTAGTCACCACTCTGGTTCTCCAGGTTTCCTCAGCTTTTAGGAAGCTATGAGTTCTCAAGCAAGGCAGAACTGGTATCAGACCATCCACCTTGTTTGTATGTCACATGTTTACCAAAGCAGGCAGAGCTGGCGCTTACACAAGCTCAGGCAAGTCTCTTCACACTCACTTCCTGCATCTGTTTGTTCTAGAAATCAGATGCAGCTTGAGATGAGAAAAAAGAAATCAGGTCTGTGCCTCATTAAGTGCATCCACACTTAATTATAAGGCGAGATGAAAGCATTTAAAGTGTTAGGGTAGGGATAACAGGCTTTTTTTTTTTTTCCTATGTGGCTATTTGTTTCTCCTATATTAGACTATAAATTTGCTATTTTAAATAGCAATGATTATGGGATGTAATTGAGATTCTCTGTTTAGTGTTAGGGAAAGATAATAATTGTGGATAATATGTACTGAGTCATGGCTGTATATATTGCTGTCCTTAATTTACTAAAAAGGAAACTGAAGATCAGAACCTGTCATGGGTCCCACTTTCAGAAGAGGTCAAGTGGGTCTGGATTCAGAGCTTTCTTTTAACCACACTGGCACACTGCTTTTGGAGGGTAAATAATATCCTTGTTTCAAGGTCTGATTTGTGCTTAATATTAGGACAGGAGGTAATCCATAAATAGATAAGGTTCTGTTTAGATTTGATTCCAAACCTAATGGTGTATGTAATTACATGATTACTACTATTAGTATATGGCACTGTTTGCTGAGATGCCAAAGTTTGCATTTCATGCAGGAAACTAGACTGGCAAACACAGCTTTACACACTAATGCTGGTAATTAGTAAAGCTCTCACTTAACTAAATGGGCCATTTGCCTTTGAGACAGTGTGAAATGGAAGTACTGTCATCTATCATCCCAGGCTGCCTCTTTTAAAAAATTTGTTAAATATCAAGGAGTGGGATGGTTGGATCATATGGTGGTAGATCAGGGGGAGAGAGAAGATGAGAGAAAGTGAAGGTACTGGGGAATGAGATTGATCAAATAAGATTTTTTGCATGTTTCAATAGGGCATATTAGGTATTAGGTACAATTATAATGCATCAATCAATCAATCAATAATGGCCTTGAAAAATTGTTGAATTAAAACTAATTTTATTTTAACTGATATGTAAAAATAAGAGTTGTAGATATTCATGGAGGAACCATGTGAAGGTTTGATATCTACATTGTGCAATGTTTAAATTAGGTTATATGTCTATCTCCTCAGACATCATTTCTTTATGGTGAAAACTTTCAAAATCATTTATTCTAGCTTTTGAAATATACTGTACACAATTGTTATCTACAATTATCCTCCTATGCAGTAGCACAGCAGAACTTCTTGTTCCTACCTACCTGTAACTTTATACATGTAGATCAACTTCTCCTTATCCTTCCCTCCCCACTTTTCCCTGGCCTCTGGTAGCCACTACTCTACTCTAAACTTCTATGAGATCAGTTTTTAGATCCCACATGAGTGACCTCATGAGGTACTTGTCTTTCTGGTATTTCCATGCCTGGCTTATTTTCACCTAACATAATCATCTCCCAATCTGCCTCTTTTGGTCCCAGTTTGGGCGCTGACCATATAGTTCTTTAGTTATCCAGACATTTCAGATGTGTGCAAGAAACATCAATAGAGAAATGCTGAATACCTGTTGGAGATTTTTCTTGAGTGACTCCTATGCCTCCATTCAGGACCTGTTAGGCTCTAAATTGCTGAGTAACAAGGAGCCTCCCAGTCTAAGTGCGTTAGTAGGATGTGACCTGTTCCTCCCTTTTCATACAGATGTTGTGTCTGATTGGTCTCCTATGCATGAAGCTGCAATCCATGGACGTGTGCTGTCTCTGAGGAACCTCATCAGCCAGGTAGCTCTTTAAAAAAATGGTGAATAGTAAGCACATCCTATTGCTATGTCAAACTTAGAAGAAAGAAACTGTAGACTGATATTAAGATATGAATTTCCTATCGCGCAACATGAGGTGAATCTTGTTCTTTTTTTTTTTCATTTTTCTTGGTTATTTTATCATTTCCTTCTTTGTTGGCTGGCATGATACCAGAGTTTAGTACAATGCTAAGCACACAGTAGGTACTGTGCTAAATATCTATTAAATGAGTAACTGGTAAGTTAGCACATTTAAGGTGCCTTCACTTTGTTCAATAATCTGTGTTCTTAAAAACTGTCATGTAAAACAGGGATTCTCAATGTGGCAAATTTATCCTTCTGGGGACATTTGAAAATGTCTGGAGCTATTGTTGGTTGTCACACTGGGATGGTGGTGATAATAGCATCTAGGGGGTAGAAACCAAGGATGCTGCTAACCATTGTACAGTGCACAAGACAGCCCTTCCCCTCAAAAATTATCCATCCCAGAATGTCAGTAATGCTAAGGTTGAAAATGCTTAATGTATAGTAAATGTTTGAAAATGTTTTTTAAAATATGTAGTCTTGTAGCCAAGGGGAGGGAGGAAAGGGGAGGGGACATGGGGGTAGGAAAGATGGTGGAATGAGATGAACATCATTACCCTAAGTGCATGTATGACGGCACATGTAGTGTGACTATATTGTGTACAACCAGAGGAATGAAAAGTTGTGCTACATTTGTATATGATGCATTGAAAAGCTTTCTGATGTCATGTATAACTGATTAGAACTAATAAAAAATAAGTTAAATAAAAATACATTGAAAAATCATAGTGCACAAAAATATCAGTGATTTCTATTGGTGACAGTACTATAAATTGTTTTTACTATTGTGATTTGTTATCTACATTCATTTATTGAAGGACATGTAGAATTTCAGATAGAGGTTAGTGAAAATAAAAGTTCTTTTTTTAAAAAAATGCAATTTCATGGACCTAAATAGATTAAGAAATCCTCCTATAAGAAAAATAGTTTCTAAAAAAAATTTTTATACTATCCTAAGCCACTATCTTAAGCTGTCTTTCATAGCAGCAGCCTATTATAAGTAGAAATATAGATTATAACATAACTCTAGCAAAAATGTTAGTCTGCTTCTCAGATAAAATGAAATATTAACTCTATTTTGATAGGATGAAAAATGATAATTTCAGCTTTTATATATTACTTGTTAAATTGGACAGACATTTATTTATATTCAGTTATTTATGTGTTTACTGAACATCAGCCAGAAGAATGTTTTTATCTAAGCTCTAGCACATGATTTGAGTGAGTTATCATCCTGGAGTCTCAATTTTGTCTTCACAAAGTAAACATTCTGATAACTACCTGCATCAGTGCACCTCAAAACTCAGCAACCACCCCAAAACTCAGTGGCATAATGTGATAGTCATGATTTCTTGCTAATGAGTGTTTGGATCAGCAGGTCTAAGCTGGGCTTGACTGGGCTCTGCTCCAAGCTGTGGATTGGGCACAGCTCTGCTACACATTCTCTCTCATCCCTTACAGACTACTGGTTACCTGAGGGATTATTTTTTTTGGCAAAAGGCTGGAGCAGAGCAGGGCAAGCCCAACCTTGCAAGAATAGGGTACTTCCAATCTTTGCTCATGGCAATGTGCTAATATCCCATTGTTTAAAACATCACATGACCTATCTCCAAAGTCAAGGATTTAGAAAGTACATGTTTTGTTAATATGAGGTCATGAGAAGGTTGTGAATGTGTTGTACCGTCATAGGTAAGTAATGTCCTGAGAACCAAAATTCAATCTATTATGCTAACTTAAATCTAACTTAAATGGGCTTGACAAAATTTACTGAGGTGATATATGTAAATTATTTATTTCAGTTACAGCCATCACAAATATTACCTATTTTCTTATTACAATCTACATGGCATTTTAGATATTCAAAGAATACTGAAAAGCATTTTTGGCAAACTAAAAAGATATTTTAGTAAGAGGAATAAGATAAGGCATTCAAATGAGTATAAAACAAAGAAAAAATTATAAAAAATTCTCATTAGGTCGAAGAAAGGAAAAGCCAAATCTGTAGTTAGTCATTCTGTATCATAGCTTACTATTGAAATGATTCAGGATGATTTTTTTTAAAGAATAAAAAGAATAAAAATGCTAGTCTAGGCCAGGCCTCATGCATTGGTATTTTCTTTTAAAAGCTTCTCTGGAACAACTGGGTTAAGGGGTAAGAAAAGTTTATTTTGATAGTTGTAAGAGGGGGAGAAGCATTTGACACAAAAGGAGTATAGCATGAGAAAAAGAACAAAAAATATCAATAAGTTGGATTTCATTAAAATTTACAACTTCATGAAAGGGCCGTATTTAAAAAAGCAAGGAAGTGGGCTGGGGTTGTGGCACGGTGGTAGAGCACTCGCCTAGCATGTGTGGGGGTCCTGGGTTTGATCCTCAGTACCACATACAGGTAAATAAATAAAGGTATTGTGTCCAACTACAACTAAAAAAATATTTTTTAAAAGTGTATATTGTTATTAAAAAAGAAAAAGCAAGGAGGTGCTGGGTGTAGTGGCATACATCTATAATTCCAAGTGACTCAGGAGGCTGATGTGGGAGTCACAAGTTCAAAGTCAGCCTCAACAATTTAGTGAGGCCCTAAGCAACTAAGCGAGACCCTGCCTCAAAATGAAAAATAAAAGGACTAGGGGTGTGGCTCAGTGGTAAAGCACCTCTGGATTCAATCCCCAGAACACTCCCTACCCCATCAAATATGAGGAGACAAGGCATAGACTAAGAGTAAATATCTACAAATCTTTTTTTTTCTTTTGTGGAGCGGGGGATCAAAACCACTAAAAATATTTTCAATCCTTTGAAATTCCTAATATAATTCACACTCAATATTAGATTTCATTGTCTAAAATCAATACAAACAAAAATAAAGGCAGGAATCCCAACAGAGAAAATAAAAAAGAGACTTGAGCTGGCAATTCATAATAGGGAATATCCAAATATTCAATAAATGTCAAACTGTGCTTATTATTTTTTTAATGTTTTTAAAATTGTTGATGGACATTTATTTATTTATCTATTTATATGTGGTGCTGAGAATTGAACCCAATGCCTCACATATGCCAGGCAAGTGCACTACCACTGAGCCATACCCCCAGCCCCCGTGCTTATTATTAGATTTTGAGTAATATAAATTAAAAACTTGAGTTACTATTACTCTTTGTCCTTACTAGAAGGGTTAACTTTGGAGAGACTGATCATACCAAGTGTTGTTAAGGATATGGAACAACTAGAACTCTTTTTCTTTACCAGTGGGAGTATAAATTTGTACAAACCACTTTGGGAGATTAGTACATAATATCTATTAAAGCTAAACATATTCCTGACTCAGCAATTCCATTTCCTGGTATGTACATATTAGATATGATATGTGTATATATAAAAAGACAGGTACAGGTATATTCATACAGCCTTATTCATGATGGCAAGTTAAAAAAGTTGAAAACAACCCAAATGATTTTTTTAAAAAATAAATAACAGCAGAATGCATTATAATTCTTATTACACATATACAGCACAATTTTTCATATCTCTGGTTGTATATAAAGTATGTTGACACCAATCTGTGTCTTCATAATGTACTTTGGATGATGATGCCTATCACATTCCACCATCCTTGCTAATCCCCTGCCCCCTCCCTTTCTCTCCCTCCCCTCCGCCCTATCTAAAATCAATAAAAAAGAAAGATATTTCACATATAGAAATGTTTGTTCAGCTGCTAACCATTTTCTAAAAGTAACAATTGATTTTTTTCATACTCATGAATTTTCTCTCTGGAACATGGGAATGAATGAATAGCATTTGTTTCTAAATTCTCTCAGATTTTCAAAAGCAGTACCAAGAATTTTTGTCTCATTACTTAGGAAGGATTCATTTGGTATAATTTGTTTGCTCAGAAGAAATTATTTTATATGAGAAAATGCAATGTTGCTATGGCAATACATCAGAAGAAATTACAAATAAAAAGCAATATGATATTTAAAAAAAGAAAACAACCCAAATGTCCATCAAATGTAAAATAATAATTATGGCATATGATTTTGTTAACTTTCTATGACTGTGACAAAATACCTGAAAAAATGAATTTATAAGTAGGAGATGTTTGTTTTGCCTCATAGTTTCTGATGTTTCAGTGCACAGTCACTTGACTCTGTTGCTTTGGGTCTATGGCAGCAAAGTACATCATGGAAGAAGCCGGTGGTGGAGGAAACTGCTTATTTTGAGGTGACCAGGAAGCAGAAAAAGAGAGAGGAAGGGACAAGGGTTCCATTATTCCCTCTAAGGGCAAGCCCCTTGTGACTTAGTTTCTTTCCACTAGGCCTGACCTCTTAAAGGCTCTACCACTTTCCAATACTGCCATAGACTGGGGATCAATCCTTTAAAACATGGGCCTTTGGAGGATATTCCAGATCTGAGCTATAGTAGTTATTGAGTGAAATTGTATATAGCAGTGAAAATGAATGAATGAGTGAATCCAACCAACATGTTGAAATAAAAATAGCCAAGCACACTCAAAAAATTCATATTTTATAGATCAATTAATATAATGTTCAAGCCCACAGAAAACTCATTTATGGTCTAAGAAGTTAGTTTCATGAATATCTTTGGGGATGAGAGGTAGGTAGTAATTTGAATGAGGCATATGCAGCCTTCTGGTAATGCTTGTTTTCTTTACCTGTTTGGTGGTTATATAGGTATGTTTTCTTTATGATGATTCACTGAGATTTACACCTAGGATCTGTGAACATTTTTATATGTATTGCATGCCAATAAAAATTATTTAAAAAACAACAATGGCGATTTGTTAGGTCAGCAGAAAGCAATCAAGCTACCACTTGACCATATCAGTGACCTTTTTGTCTCAAGACTGAACATTAGAATCCCCTTGGGCTGTGGGGGCCCTTAGAAATGCTGATGACTGAATTCATCCTCTTTTGATTCTATTGCAATTGCTCTGGAATGGAGCCTGGATATCACAACGTTCCTAAAGCTTCTCAGGTGATTCTTTTTTCAGTAATGTCTCACCACAAGCAAATGATGAGGACTGGCTTTTCAGAAACTAGAATAAAACTCCTGATCCTGCCCCCTGTGATTCTTAAAGGGCTAAGTCACTATCAGGGTGGAAACAAGGAAAGATAACTGGCAATGTGATACAGTACATCTTTAGGATATGGCAGCTGATTGAAGGCTAAATGACAAAGAAGAACAAATTTCAGATAATAAATGCCTGGAAGTTACTAAGTACTAAATTTTTCATACATCATTTTAAGTCTTCATAATCATCTTTTAAGACAAGTACACTTCCCATTTTACAGAAAAATAATTGAGGATCAGGGAGATAAGTAACTAGCCTAAGGTCACACCACTTTCTTGGTGATGGTGCTAATATTTGAACTTGGGAATTGAGAATCATTCTGCCGTCCTCCCTCCTAAAGCCTCAGTTCTAGGTTATTAAACAAGATGATGGAGCAGGCAAGAGAATCGTGGTTGGCAAAATGGAGCTTTCATTCAGGTTGGCAAAGGCTGAGTTTGTTGCTAGCTGGGTCTCAAGATAGTTATGTCTTAGCACGGAAATAGAAAATGTACCATGGGTGGAGATTTAGATTTGATGGTAAGTTTGTGTGTACGTGTGTGGGGGGTGTTGTGGGAGAAAGGGGTAAAGGGAAAGAGTCAGTACTGAGAGAAAAGAAAAAGGTTAGAGTGTAGCAGGAAATGAGGGTCAGGACACTGGGATCTGGAAGCAACATTTTATTAGTGGCGCCATGGCCCAGAGGGATGACTCCCAAAGTCTGAGCCCCAAGCATGGCCAGGCTTTTGCTTTTATACATAAGCACGTTTTGGGTACATCAAGGCAACAGAGTTGGTGCACTTCTATTGGAGGGTGCAGTCTACATTCCTTATATGGGTACAAGCTTGTCAATAGCCTAGGTACTCTTAGGTCATACGGCTTAGGGACTCTTGACTGCACTAAGCCTAAAGGGGGATTGATCTGTCCCCACAACATTGTTCATGCTTCTGCTACAGTGGTTATCTGTTATGGGTACCTGTTAGCTACTGCCAGCCCTATGGTTAAATGTCAGTATGCAGAGCTGCTGTGTGTCAGTGTGAAAAACCACAGCCTGTTAGCTCTTAAACTACTAATGTTTCCATTCTGTTCTACCACAAGAAGGAAAGGTCGGAGTCGGTCAAAGAGAGAAAAAAGGTCATCAGAAGTTGAAAATCAGATAGAGCTGGATTTTAAAAGTCAGAGGAGAGGTTTCATGAGGTCAACATGAATATGTAGCAAATTCAGAGGTGAAAGGAGGAGAAGGACAGATATTACATATGGGTTTGATAAAGAAGAAGTCACTGGCCAGGTGCGGAGATGGGGGGTGCAAACCTATAATCCCAGCAGCCTGGGAGGCTGAGGCAGGAGGATCATGAGTTCAAAGCCAGCCTCAGCAACTTAGGCCCTAAGCAACTTAGCAAGACCACACAGAGTCTCAAACTATAAAAAAGGACTGGGGATGCACGTCAGTGGTTAAGCACCCTTGGCTTCAATCCCTGGTACCAAAAGCAAAACAAAAAATAAAAACAACAAAAAAGAAGCCACTCAAGATATTTAAAAGCCATTTTGACAGGATTGCATGGGTAGAAGATGAGAAAATGAATGGGAAAAAGGAGAGACAATGGGCATAAGCAAATGTTGAAAAAAAAAAAAGGGAGAGTGAAGGGAAGAAGGGCATAGAATGGTAGCTTGGCAGAGGGTTGGGACTGACAGAAGGGAAGAATTCAAAAATAAAAGGAAGGTGTGCCAGAAAGGAGAGACCTGGGAAATGAATGCATGTGAGAAGGTGGATGACACAAGGTCATGGACATAGGTCTTGGGCATTGAAAAGGCACTGGCTGTCAGGGTGAATTCATATATTTCTTCCTCAAAGAAAGGAGCAAAGAAAAAGAAAATAGGAGAAATGTGGGGAGATTTTAGGGGTGGAGAAAAGGGGCCTGTAGGAAACTTACATTAAATGGCTGTGACCTCCTTGATAAAGGAGGAGGGAATGATGTTTTCTATGCATATGACTGAGACAGGTGTTCATGATCTTCCTTTCTGTGTAACTGTGGATGGGGAAAAAATCCTAATCATCTTTGTGGTCAGTTGGTTCAATGTAGGTGAGCATAAGAATTTTGGGGCTTGGACAGAAAGTTGCCAGGTCCCAAATACTTTATTTCCTCTGTGCCCTGACATTATACAGATCTAAGAACCCACCCAAAAGATCTTCTGATCATAGGCTGAGATTAGGTGACATTTGATAATCACTGAAGAGCTCACAGGTCAGAGGTGTGCAAGCCAGCCAGGTGGAAGCTCATTTTATGCTTTCCCTCGTTATTCTTAGTTGTATATTTGTTATTATTAATAAGCACTAACTAGGAAAATCCTGTGTCAGATTGTGCAGACTTGGCTGGGTGGGATTAGAAGGAATCTTCTTTCAAATTCTACATGCTAGTTGAAGGTGGCAACTGCATGGTTCTGGAGGTGATGTGGCTCTCATGGTCACTCCTTGCTTGCTTTGCCTTGCTGACCCATTGTGTACCTTTTCTTATGGGCCACTCTTCTTGTGATTGTCCTTTACCTGAGTGTTGTACCTGGATCTGTCTTCCAACTATTTGTATCTGATACCCTCACATAATTTTTGCCTCATGTGGACATTATACCCTCTTTTGTTGCATTGATGAAACTACTTTTTAAAAATCTGTAAAAAATTTCCCTGCCTAACTGGGCAGTTAAGTCAAGTAAGAATAGTAAAGTAAGAAATGATGTATTCTTTTCTTTTATCAAGACCAGAGTTGGCAATTTTCCCATAAAGAACCAGGTAGTAATATTTTAGACTTTGCAAACTAATTTCTGTTTTAACTACCTTGTTCTGCTGTTGTAGTGCAAAAGCTGTCAAAAACAATATGACAATGAGTGGACAGGGCTGTATTCTGGTAAAACTTTAACACTGAAATAATTTGGATGTATCACAAAATATTCTTTTGATTTCTTTTCAGCCATTTAAAATATAAAAATCATTCTTAGTTACTGCCCTATACAAAAAAATAGACTGTGGACTATTTTGACTCATGAATTGTTGTTTTGCTCATCCCTTTGTTAAAACCAAGACAGAGCTAGGAAGGCCAAGAACAAAAGTAAATGTCATCAGGGAACAGAATTTTGGTTTCTTTTGAGAAGAAAAATTGGATAAAAGTGGTATTTTTATCACATACATTATTGAATCTGGTGTATTACCAAATATAGTAGTTATATTTTCAAGAAAGATTTTATTAGTTAATAGGAACATTTTACTTTCCTAAAGCAATAAAGCACATTTATGTTTCCTAAAAGGCACATGTAGTATATTCTGTGTTCCCTTGAAGTTTCCTTATAATTGTCCTACAAGAAAGAGACACTGGTTAACTTGTTAGAATTTCATAATGCTTGTTAAACCTAGCAATTTAGGATTTGCTAACTTGAAAACTTTTAATTTGAGAAGTAGAACAAGCAAACTAACTTAAACACATATGTGCAATTTAAGAAATAGTAATGGTAATGAGAATTTTGCCATGTGATTGCCCCCCCCAGGTCAAGAAATGGAAAAAAATAGCACATTGCTGGCTCCCCCAAAGGACCACCTACCCCATTGCTCCCCTTGCACTTTCTCTCTTCCACAGAAGTAACCATATCCTGACTTCTTTGCTTTGTTAAGGTTTTATTTCCCATGTGTGTATTCTGAAACAATATATGTTAGGCGTGCCTTATTTTGAATTTTATGTTAATGCAGTCATTCAGTATATCTCATATTGGGTCTTTTCTTCTTTTGCTCAACATTATTTTCATAGGCATCATCCGTGCAGTTGTTTGCAGTTATAATTTGTTCAGTACAATATTGCATTGAATGATTGTATGCAAGTTTATTAATCCACTTTACTATTGATGGCCATTTCGTTGTTTGTAGTTTTAAGCTACCATGCTGTTGTGAATTTTCTTGTATATTTATCTAGGTATATATTTCTATAGTGGACATAACTTAGAGTGAAATTGCTGGTTTGTAGACATGTATCTCATCAACTGGAACAGATACTGCCAAACCCTTTCCCTTAATGATTGTATCATATTATACTTGCAGGACAGTTTCTTCTTCTTTCTTTTTTTTTAACATCATTATCAACACCTTAATGTGGTGTGTGACAATAAAAAAACTTTGAGAAGAATTGTCATATAAGTACTGGAATCATGGCTGAAAACCAACCCCAGGGCATTGTTGTTTTGCACTTCTTACTCTTCTCATTTCTGCTGTGCCAGGGGTGGCCTGTGAACCTCACCACAGCAGATCGTGTGTCTCCACTCCATGAAGCCTGTCTTGGAGGTCATCTGCCTTGTGCAAGTATTTTAATAAAGCATGGAGCTGAGGTAAGTGCAGGTCAAATAATATCTTAGAGACAAATATTATCTAAGAATGAAAAATGACAGTTTCTACCCCTTCTGAATAATTTCTAGCACTTTTGATGAGCCTGATTTGAAATTTGAAGAGTGGTGTTTTGAAGAGTTATTATGTCCATCAAACTTGTTCATTATAGTGAAAGGTGAAATACTGAATTGTTTGCTGCAAAGTCATGCTTAGAGTTTCTAGCATTTTCTTATCACCCACTGCTAATAAATAGCTGCTGTATTTCTGCTTTCATTACTGTGGGTGGAGGGTAGTAAAGTATTGTAGAAAGCATAAAATGTTTGGTTGGGATGTCTGGGGAGATGGAAAAATGTCTGTGTGGTCTCTCATACTTCAGTAAGCAGCCTCAGCTTCTCCACATGGTAGCAGGGGTTGCAAGAATAGCAAAGAAGAGCAGGCTCTTTCTACATAATATTGGCTACTGTCTTATTGGCCAAAGTGATTCACATGAGTAAGCGTAGATTCAAAGATTGGAAAAATAGTCTCCATCTTGTGATGGGAGGAGTTGCAAAGGGATATGCATAGTGGGATAGAGAGAATCTGGGGTTGTTCTTACAAACCACCACTAAGATGGTTGTTGGGAGCACAAAGAAGTGTTTCTCTAATGTATTTCTTTTGGGAAGAGAGGGAGTCAAAAGAGGCTTCCTACAGAAAATGATATCTAAGTTGACACAGTACCTGTTGGAATTAGTCAGCTGAATAATGGGTTAGGGGAAATGATAGGCTTTCCCATCTACTGGGAACAGCAAATACAAAGGTTTGGAAGTGAAAGTGAACAAATTTTTGACTCATTCCTAATGGTGGGAGAGTAAAACACAAGCTACCTTATTGTTTTGAAATTATAGAGAGCCAGAGGTGAGTGCATCATCTGATTTATATCTGGGTTAGGGAAACTTATACAAAACTTGGAAACAGGACCAGGGCTGACGTGAAGCAAGAGAGGCATCTATGGTGCAAACTTCATAGAAGCTCTTACTCTAGGGTCTTGGGCAACACTAAGAGTGAACATCTTAAAATTTGTACTCTGCATTTTTGTACCTCATTAAGATCCTGGCTTTGCTTGTAAATACAATGTGAGAATAAATTCATTGCTTTCACAATGTCATTTTTTAACAGAATCATCAAATGATTATTTAGTGACATAGAAGAGTGTGTCTGCATTTGGCTTTGCTTTTACTTTTTGATTATAGCCCAAACATTAATCTGTAAATGTCTGTCTTTTTTCTAACATTATAAAAGATCACCACAAAGATTATATTTTTATGGTTTTTAGAGCATTAGCTAGTTTTGTATTTATTAGCAAATATGTTTCAGCAGTCTATTGACTGACTATATAAATTCTTTGAACCAGCCTTACTTACCATCTTACTGGTTCCCTTGTCAATGAATGAGTTGAATAAAACCCTTGGTCTGCGTTAACTCTATATTTATATGAAAATCATGTTTTTACATGATTAAAAATTACTTTCTAACAATTTTAGAAGACTACTATGGTCGCTATGAGGAAATTGGATTAGTCCAGGATGAAAGTTTAAAATAAGATTAGTTTGGAAACTGAAAATCACTCTAACAAAGTTCATGTTCTTGGGAAGGGCATGGAGGAGAAAGAACCTTCAGTAACATTCTTTCTGTTTTGCATTTGACATCTCATTCAGTTTTTCATAATAACCTTCTAGAATTTGTTTTCCTCCCCATTTTATAGCTGTGTGTAGCCTAGAGCTTTTTGTCCCCTTAGGTGAATGGCATGACTACAGACTGGCATACTCCCTTATTTAATGCTTGTATCAGTGGCAGCCAGGACTGTGTGAATTTGCTTCTGCAGCATGGAGCCAGCCCCCATCCTGAGAGTGATCTTGCATCACCCATCCATGAGGCTGCTAAGAGAGGTAAATCTGTTGAGAATTTTAGGTTTTCCACCAAGTTTTTCAAGAAACATCTTACTGTTGAAAGAGGGAAGAAAAGGTATATTTTTTAAGCAGTAATTCTCAAAGTGGGGTCCTGATACTAGAAGCATCAACAGAAGGGGGCCTGCAAATGTAGCCTCGGCCCCATTGAATCAGTAACTCTGTGGGTGGGGCCTAACCATCTGTGTTTGTTTTAACATGCCCTCCAACTGATGATGAAGTACAGTAAGTTTCAGAATCTCTCTTTTAGAGCATTTGGAATGTTCACCATTATATTTCTGGAACAGGACTTGGTACCTAGTAGACTATCCATCAATATTTGTGGAACATATTGTTGAGCCTGTGACCTTATAGAAATCAAGCAGTTTTATGAAACAAATTATATTCTTCTATTTTAGGACCTCAAGAAATAGTATCTCAGGGCCACCAAAATTTGCCAAGTGAAACAAATTTTCAATTTTGAGAACTATAAGATGTATATACATTTGGGGGAGTAATATTTTTCATAAAGCCACGGGTTCACTGATATTCTTAACTCTGAAACAAAAAATAAAATTACAAATTTTTCTTTTCTCTGATGTTTAGTTTCATCATTATCATCAAAATTATACTTTGCCTGTGGGCTTTCTGTTTCCCCAGTGGCTTTCACAGAATAGCTTCCCAACCCATATGATAATTACCTACCAAAACATTGATATTTATTTATTTATTGTACAGGGGATTGAACCAAGGGCACTTAATCACCGAGTCACATCCCTAACCCTTTTTATTCTTTTATTTTGAGACAGGATCTCGCTAAGTTGCTGAGGCTGGCTTTGAACTCGTGATCCTATTGCCTCAGCCTCCAGAGCTGCTGGGATTACAGACATGTGCCACCATGCCTGGTGACATTTATTTATTAAGGGACACACTAATTTATCACATTCAGTGGATACATGTAGCTAAAATGGTATAACTTGAGAAACATAAAGGATCAATGTTTAAACAATGGCATTCTGAACAACGGAAGAGTGATTCAGCTTTCACTATACCTAGTTTACCAGACTGGACCCTCTCTTGTGGGATTTGCCAGATTCTTCTAAGCCTGGCCTATGCCCACTCTGGCCTGTTTTTCCCAGGCCTAGCCTTGCTGAGGTTGTAAGTTTCCTTCCTTGTCTTGTGACCCACATCATGCTATTTCTTCTTGAGATCCACTTTAATTCCTGTTCCTCCCTAGCTCTCCCCAACTCAGACCAGTTACAAAACCACAAACAATTGAAACATGTGGATGATTGCTGGTTGTTTACCATGGCTGAGAAGCTCAAGTGCAGTTCCCCTTAACAGTTACAGATCACAACTTGTGTTTAAAATCATTCCTTATTCTATATGAAGAAAACCACTTTTAATCCCTGGATATGTTGCTGACAAATTTAAACATGCAAAAATGGGGACAGTGTTGTTTCCTTAGCCAAGGGAACATGTGCTGTAACTGTTTACTCCTGCTTTGGACTGTAGGACATGCGGAGTGCATTGAGACCCTTGCAGCTCATGGGGGCGACATTGACCGTAACATCAGCCACCTGGGCACGCCCCTCTATTTGGCTTGTGAAAACCAGCAGATAGCCTGTGTCAAGAAGCTTCTGGAGTCAGGTAGGACAAAAAACAAACCAAAAGAAGGAAAGAAAATGAAAAGTAAATCAAATGTATTTTAAAAATCTTTCTGTTGTAGCAAAGAGTGCAGGCAGTGGAGTTGGGCCAGATCAGAGTTTGTACTGAGTATGTTTCTATGGGGAGTTATTTTATTTTGTTAGAACTTTAGTTGTTTGACTTGTAATCAGGATGATGATGATGATGATGATAATGATGATGATGATACCTCCTCCCAGGGGTGGTCTTCCATGATCACTAGTTTCTCTTTCCTCTGCCCAGTCTATGATTAGGCCCTGCATAAACTGCAGTGCTGTGGGATTTGGGCCGAGTCTTCCAATTTGGGACCATCTTCACCAGTTCTCTTTATTTTGAAATTGAACTAGCCCAATTTTTAGCCTGATGTAAACACTTTCATTGAAAACTACTCATTTTCCTTTTCATCTCCCTGCTATTATCTAGCCCCCTTCTCACCATTTTATCACATTTTAATTCTATTCATTTTTTTAAGACTCCAGGAGTCTTAGAAATGAATGTTCTTATAGGTATATTTTGGCCTTCCATTCATTTGGTGGCCATTTTTATGAATTAGGAGATTCATTCATTCTGTCTTTCCTTTTTCTCTCTCTCTCTCCCATCACCCTAGACAGATTTTTTTTCCTCATTTTTTTTTGGTGCAGTATGGTTGCACACAATGGTGGGATTTATTGTTACATGCACACCATACAACAATGTAATTTGGCCAGTATCACTCCCCTGAACTTTCCCTTCTTCCACCCCTTGGTCCCTTTCTTTTCCTCTACTGATCTCCTCTTGATTCATGAGATTCACCCCCTTCCTTTTTTCCTTTTAAGCTTCCACATATGACAGAAAATATACAACCTGTGACTTTCTGGGTTTGGCTTATTTTACTTAACAAAATGGTTCATCTATTTTCCTGTAAATGCTATAATTTATTTTTTCTTTATCACCTTAGATTTTAAGCTACTATCCAGAAAAGGGCCATATTTGTCATTCATTCCCCAATTAAGTTCACATTTGTTGAGGGGATATAGATTCTCATTTTGCTGCAGGGACAGCATCTCAGTCAAAGCCATGTGTCCCCACATGTCACAATAAGAGCCAAGATCTGGACCAGGTGGGGATTTGTCAAGACTATCAGTGTGGAATTAGGTGGAGATGGTCTTACAAATACACCTTACTCATTAAGAAGAGACGTGGCCACCTTCCTTCTGATCTTGCAATTGGTTCTCCCAAACTAGGTGATGCCTTTATGAGTTGATTGCTTTTTATAGTCCAAATCACACAGTTTGAAGTCCCAAGTTTAAAAACCTGTGGTGATTGTTCAGTGTATGCAATTGGCTGCTTGGTATAATTAGGACTTCAGTATCTGTCCTCCTTCTGAGCCTATACTGGCCAGTACTTAGACTATTTAAATAATGACTGTGCAGCTTTCATGCCACCATGATTTTTCTTGTATCCATCATGCTGACATATCATGCTCAGTGGCACAGTTTTCACTTAATATGGTAGCTAGCTCATGCTGTACATTCAGGCACATTGTCAAATGGTTTTCTCATGATATTAAATAGAATCAAATGATCAAATTGCCATGCTCACCATGGATCAGCTTTCTTAGAGAATTTTGAGGCCCTGTGCTTTGAGAAATGGGATGGTTCGACTCTGCTCCTTGGCTGACCCTCTTTTGTTCTTATGACTATTTAGGAGCAGGTGTGAACAAAGGCAAAGGTCTGGATTCCCCTCTCCACGTAGTGGCCAGGATATGCAGTGAGGAGTTGGCGTGCCTGCTCATGGACTTTGGAGCAGACACCAGGGCCAAGAATGCTGAAGGCAAACGTCCAGTGGAGCTGGTGCCTCCAGAGAGCCCTCTGACCCAGCTCTTCTTAGAGAGAGAAGGTGCTTCTCCTTTGCCTGAATTTAAGCTCTAATCCATAAAGACTCCTTCCAGCCTTAGTAAGAGGCAGGTACTTACTAAGTTCTGACTAACAATCCTATACAAGTTTACCATCTGTCATCACCAAATGTGGGGAAGTTATGACTAGTTAGTATTTAATAGGGTGTGATATTGGTTATGTTGTGAATGGCCCTCCTATTGTCTGCATGTCAGAGACATGCTGTTTGGGATGTTCTAATATTCATATATGTAGTAGTCCAGTTTTCAAAGAATTAATTTGTTATCTAATAATTTAAAGATTAAAGTTATCTAAAACATACTTTAGAATGATACAGAAGAATCCTTTTTGGTGTTCCATGATGCTCCAGGATGTCTCATTGTACCACAGAGAGGACAGACTATTGGACATTTGAATTGTGGAATTAAAATGTAGCTAATAGAGAGTTTGGGGTTTCTTTTTAATAATTCACACCAATTCATAGACATTTACTATTATAAGTGAACCAACAATAAGTTCATACTCCTTCATAAATAAGAACTGACACTCAACCCAAAGAGCTAAACATTGTGGTTGAGTGGTGTGTATAGGTGGAGGGTTACTTTCTTGGGGTGTGGATCTAGGATGGGAAACAAAGATCTCTCAGGTTGGGGAGATACCTCACTGCAGTCTTCATTATTCTAGAGGCAATTCAGCAGCCAGCTCAGCACCTACTCTATTGCCAGAGGGTTGACTATGTCAAGTTTTAGGGGTTGTGAGTTTTGAAGCAGACTTGCCCACTACAAGGATTTTTATGTCATGTAATCTGTTTTTTTTCTCCCCACATACTAAAAATTTGGGACAGTTCTGAATAGAACTATATAAAGTAGGCCAAGGAATTCTTCCTCCTTCTTCATGGCCACAGGGTACTTGCCATGCCAAGCTCCCATCTTGGCATATGCCTGTACTCCTTGTTGGTGCTGGAAGGGCTAGGGAAGACTGACCCAGGCAGAAGGAACAATCAAACAGACATTTTTATGTTAAACAGTAAGAAAGATAATTACTGAGCAATTCTACCTGCATTATGGTGATTTCTTATTTTCAAAAAATGCTATGCATATATACAGGGCCAGTTTCTCCTCTAGTGCCCCAAGGCCCACAGAAATATCTTAATTTCTTTTAAAATCAGAAGGAAAAACGAATAAAACTCAATCTGGATTATATTCATCCTTATACCAACATAGTTGTAAAATACAACTTTTAATACATTTTTATTGGGAAAGGGGTCCACAAATGCAAAAGTACCTAAGGGCTCCTTAAAGTCATAATATAGGATATATATATGTGTGTGTCTGTGTGTGTGTGTGTGTGTGTGTGTGTGTATCTCCTATATTATGACTTTAATATATATATATATATATATATACATCCTTCTCTGTCATATAATCTATTAATATTTTTTTGTAAAAAAGAAGTGGATCAAATACATGACAGTGGAATGCATTACAATTCTTATTACATATATAGAGCACAATTTTTCATATCTCTGGCTGTATATAAAGTATGTTCACACCAATTCATGTCTTCATACATGTACTTTGGATAATGATGTCCATCATATTCCACCATCATTGCTAACCCCCTGCCCCCTTCTTTCCCCTCCTATCCCTCTGTCCTATCTAGAGTTCATCTATTCCTCCCATGCTCCCCCTCCCTACCCCATTATGAGTCAGTCACCTTATATCAGAGAAAACATTCACCATTTGTTTTTTGGGATTGGCTAACTTCATTTAGCATTATCTTCTCCAAATGCCATCCATTTACCTGCAAATGCCATTTATTTTCTTTTATTGCTGAGTAATATTCCATTGTGTATATATATCACAGTGTCTTTATTCATTCATCTATTGAAGGTCATCTAGGTTGGTTCCACAATTTAGCTATTGTGAATTGTGCTGCTAAAAACATTGATGTGGCTGTGTCCCTGTAGTATGCTGTTTTTAAGTCCCTTGGGTATAGACCGAGGAGAGGGATAGCTGGGTCAAATGGTGGTTTTATTTCAAGTTTTCCAAGGAATCTCCATACTGCTTTTCATATTGATTGCACCAATTTGCAGTCCCACCAGCAATGTATGAGTATGCCTTTTCCCCCACATCCTCACCAACACTTATTGTTGTTTGTCTTCGTAATAGCTGCCATTCTGACTGGAGTGAGATGGTATCTTAGAGTAGTTTTGATTTGCATTTCTCTAATTGCTAGAGATGATGAACATTTTTTCATATATTTGTTGATTGATTTGAATATCCTCTTCTGAGAAGTGTCTGTTTATGTCCTTGGCCCATTTATTGATTGGGTTATTTGTGTGTGTGTGTGTGTGTGTGTGTGTGTGCATGTGCGTGCGCTTAGCTTTTTGAGTTCTTTATATACCCTAGAGATTAGTGCTCTATCTGATGTGTGAGGGGTAAAATTTGCTCCCAAGATGTAGACTCTCTATTCACCTCACAGATTGTTTCTTTTGCTGAGAAGAAACTTTTTAGTTTGAGTCCATCCCATTTATTGATTCTTGGTTTTAATTCTTGTGCTATAGGAGTCTCTTTTTAACCTTTATTTTGTTTTTATTTATTTTTATGTGTTGCTGAGGATCGAACTCAGCACCTCGCACATGCTAGGCAAGTGCTCTACCACTGAGCCACAATCCCAGCCAGATATAGGAGTCTTATTAAGGAAGTTGGGGCCTAAGCCTACATGATGCAGATTTGGGCCTACTTTTTCTTCCATTAGACGGAGAGTCTCTGGTTTAATTTCCTAGGTCCTTGATCCACTTTGAGTTGAGTTTTGTGCATGGTGAGAGATAGGGGTTTAATTTCATTTTGTTGCATATGGATTTCCAGTTTTCCCAGGACCATTTGTTGAAGAGGCTTTCTTCCCTCCAATGCATGTTTTTGGCACCTTTGTCTAATATAAGATAACTATAATTTTGTGGGTTAGTCTCTGTGTCCTCTATTCTATACCATTGGTCTACCAGTCTATTTTGATGCCAATATCATGCTGTTTATGTCACTATTGCTCTGAAGTATAGTTTATCTCTTAAGATTTTCAAATAGCCTTTTCTGGCTCTTTCTTTCTACTTTGTTTCCCAAAACCATTCCTAGAGATTTCGGTTCCTTTAACTCTTTTGCTTCACAGTTCACATGTGAAGCAAAAGTATAGCCAAGGATATAGCTGATTTACAAAATATAAATTGAGGGGTCTGCGGCCCATAGCTCAAGCCTAGGATGCACAAGGCCCTGAGTTTCATCCCCAACACCATAAATAAATAGATAAAGTATAATTTGCCCCTGGAGAGAATGATGTGTTTTGCCTCCGTGCACCACTTTTGGGATTCTGGTGAGGTCACCTCCCATCAGGCTGAAAACTCACCTGAAATGGTGCCAGACAAGTGCAGAAAGTTGGACATGCAAATTGAATGCTGCAATTTCTGTCTGGATGTCCCTGTTGATTCAGTCCACCTGTTTCTCTGTGCTCAGGGAAGTGGCTTAATTAAATTACTGTCCTCTTTCAATGGTGTAGTGACAGGAGAACATCAGGTGAAATGCAGCCATGTTCTGAATTGGGCTTTGCATGGTTGTTAGAAAAGGCAGGATTTCCCCTTCTTCAGAGGGAAAGGGAAAGTATTTCAAGAATACCACTATGCTTGATAAGCAGCTAAACCAGTGTTTGTTGAACCCAATGAGAACTAAACATGACTCTCTCAGTCCAGCATGACAGGAACCCCTTCACCCCAAATGGGAGATAAAAGGCAAGACCCAAAGGAATATGCCAATTCATAAACACAGTTAATTGATTTTATTATTGAGCAAAGTAGGTGCCAACAAGTGGCTCCAAAACTGTAGTGAATTTTCAGCTCTGTTTATATGGAATTAGAACTACAGTTGTAATCATGCTACATGCAGTAAAAAGTCAGCAGCTATTCTTTTTTTTTTAAATTAGAGCTTCATAGTTATACATAATAGTTGGGTTCATCCTCACAAAATTCATACATGCACGGAAATTGATTTCAGTTCACAGTCCCTGCTTTTCCCTCCTGTCCCCCCCATTCTCCTTCCTCTATTCTACTAGACTTCCTTTCACCAACAATATACAAGTGTTCCTTTCTCCCCACAACCTTACCAGCATCTGTTGTTTGTATTCTTGATCACTGCCATTCTGACAGGAGTGAGATGAAATCTTAGTGTAGTTTTGATTTGCATTTCTCTGATTTCCAGAGATGTTGAACATTTTTTCAAATATTTATTGGCCGTTTGTGTTTTTCTCTTTTGAGTAGTTTCTGTTTAGATCTTTTAGTTAACAGCTATTTTGTTGTCATCAGTAGTTATATTGACCTTACTCGGATGTCATGCTTTCCATAATTCTCTATTGGGCTTGTTCTGAGGTCTTGTTCTTCATAATGCTTTTATCATTATTTCCTACAGTTGTCCCTGACAGTGTATCTAGCACACTTGATGAATCACATCCTTTGATCATCCTTAGTGAGATTAGATTAAGTAATATTTCTTTGCCATCAGTTAAGTCTATTCTTTGGGTACACTGGACATAATCTGAAAGTTGCCCTGAATCCCAACAAAGCCATTCTGAAAGTGCTGTTAGGGCCCTTTTAAAATCTTGAGTTCATTTAAAAAATTATGTTTCTCTATTTCTACCTCCCCTCATTCTATATTACCTGAGAGATGTGTAACTCAGTTTACCCTGTAGCTTGTAGCAATATGGGAAAATAGAGACCACAGTTTCCTTTCAATTGTATCTTCAATCCTAGCTGCACAATAAAATGAGTCAGGGCCCATGCCTTTAAAAAATACAGATGCACAAGCCCCAGTCAACAATTATCGAAGCACCATTTCTGGGATGGGGCCCAGCATCATGTAGTTTAAAGATCCCCGTCTCCACCAGCAATACATGAGTGTTTTAGTCAGCTTTTTTTTTTTAATATAGCTATGACTAAAAGACCTGACAAGAACAATTGTAGGGGAGGAAAAATTTATTTGGGGCTCATAGTTTCAGAAGTCTCAATCCATAAGAGCTGGCTCCATTCCTCGGGACTAGAGGTGGGCAGAACATCATGGCAGAAGAGTGTGGTGGAGGGAAGTGGCTCACATGATGATGGGAAAGCAGAGAGAGACTCCACTTGCTGGTTACAAAATATTTACTAGAAGGCACACCTCCGGTGCCCCACTTCCTCCAGATACACCCTACCCACTTTGAGTTACTGCTTTATTAATCCCTATCAGGGGACTATTCACTGATTAGGTTAAGGCTCTTATAATCCAACCATTTCACCTATGAATATTCTTGCATTGTCTCACACATGAGCTTTGGAGGGACATCACAAATCCAAATCATAAAAGTGGGTGATGCAGTTTCCCTGCATCCTCACCAGAATTTAGTGTTGCAACTATTTATTATTTTAGCTACTCTAATTTATATGTAGTTGATATTTTATTGCAGTTTTATTTTCCATTTCCCCTGAAGCTAAATGATGTCAAACATCTTTTCATGTGCTTACTTGTTATCCATATGTACTACCTTTTAAAGTGACTCTTCATATTATTTGCCTGTTTCCTAATGGAAAGATTTTTTATGCATTTATTTGTTTACTTACAAAATTTTTTAACAGTTCATAATTTGTCTTTTTACCCTTTTCACAGAGAAATGTTGATGGTATTTAGATTAACTAACTTTCCCTTTTATGGATCATGTTTCAGTACTAATTCTATGAACTCTGCCTAAATCTAAATCTCAAAGATTTTCTCCTATGTTCTTTCATAAATGTTTTATAATTTTATGTTTTCCATTCATGTCTATGCATTTTGAGTTGATTTTTATATGAGGCATGACCTTTAAATAAAAATTCTTGGTGTTGAAAAAAAAATAGATCCCCATCCCCAGACACTTCCAAAGTGCAGCCTGGACTGTGGGCTACTGTTTTATGGATTTTTTTGAGGGTATATAGTTTTCCTTTTCTTAAAATAACACAAAGAGAATTTCCATTACAAATTGATGCAGGGAGTTAGGATGGAGTGAAAAATCATTCCCCATCCTTTTACTCTGTAACAGGGGTTTTCAACCTTGGCATTATTGACATTTTGGGTCAGTTGGGAGCTGTCCTGTATACTGCAGGATATTTAGTAGCATCCCTGACTCTCTACCAATTAGATACCAATGGCACTTTATCCAAGCTGTGATAATAAAACATGGCTTCAGACATTGCCCAGTGTCCCCTAGGGAGCAAGTACTTCTTCCCTTCTCCCCACCTGTTCTCTGTTGAAAGCCACCATCCTAAAATGTAAACTCTTGAATGTTCCCCAGGCAAGGTTTATGCTAGTTCACTTTTTACCTATGAGTTGAAGCTTTGGGATAGCTCTGAATACAGAATATGAAAGCAAATGTGACTTAATAAGATAGCATACACTTGTGATTCACTGATCGCTCATTTTATTTGAATATCTTATAAATTGCTAAGATTATAAAAAAGACATGCTTGCTTCTAGAAATATCACCTTATTTTAAAAGTAAAAGACAACAATGCCATTAAACATGATTTTTATTTTCATTATTAGAATTTTCGTGTAGCTGTGTAATTCCCAAATTAGTTTTCTTAAGCTTTTGTTAGTAAGGCTAAGTTTTAGATTTCTTGCACTGTGTTCTAAATTAAAACCCAATGAGCTTATTTCAGTTGGATACCACAAAAGAGACAATATGGCTTAAAAATGCCTTTCACAAAAATAGTCTTAAACTGTACCATATTATTTACTTACAACAATATTGTATTTTATATGCTTAAAATAGGAAAGGAAAAGCAGTCTTAGATCAATGAAACCAGTGTGTGACTTGTCTCGTGATCTTTCCCCAGGGCCCCCTTCTTTGATGCAGTTATGCCGCCTGAGAATCCGGAAGTGCTTTGGCATCCAGCAGCATCATAAGATAACTGGACTCCTTCTCCCGGAGGAGCTGAAACGATTCCTTCTACACCTTTAATTGAGTCAAAGGAACAGATTCAAAAACAACAGATAAACATTGAATATTGTAGCCACTGGAATTTAAAATAAAGTTAGGTTTATAGTGCTTGGCTAGTTTTTTTTTATTCTTAATAGAAACACATTAGGTACTTTATATTTTTGGTTGGAAGGCACTAAGATGTCCCCTGCCCCTGACTTGAAAGAATGTCTGAAATAATGGCTACTCTTTTGAACATCTACTACATGACAAGTGCTAAGGAAGGAACATTTTATACATCATTCAATTTAGTCTTTACAGAAAACCTACCAGGTGGGCAGTATATACTACCTTTCCAAGGTAATGCACCTAAACTCAGGGAGATCAAGTAGAGAGGAGCCAGAATAAAATATAGGCTTTGTGATGTGAACCTGGGGAATTTTGACCAAGGCAGAATTTTCCAGTATTACTGTCCTGGCTCCATCTCTGTGATATGGGAATATAAAACATTTCTTTGTTTACTTTTTTAAAACTTTTCCTGTTATTATGAAAAAATTACTACACCCTAGTAGAGTATAGGGGCAAATTCTTTTTCTCAACCAAAATGTCATACACAAGTTGAACATGTCCTAGACTTGTCCTGTCCAATATAGTAGCCACTAACCCAGTAGTTCTCAGCTGTGGTGATTTTTGCTCCCCATCCAGAGGGTATTTGGTAGTCTGGAGACACTTGTGGTTGTCCCTACTGAGAGATTAAGCTATGGTCATAGAGCACGTGCGGAGGCCAGAGATGCTGCTAACATCCTACAATACATAGGACAGCCCTTCATATACCAAAGAATTATCCAGTTCAAAATGTAACTAATGCCCAGGTTGAGAAACCCTGCACTACCTATTTGTGACTAATCAAAAAATTCAAATTAGTTAAAATTAGGTAAAATAAAAAAGCCTGTTTCTGAATGTTAGTAGCAATATTTTAATATCCACAACTTAGCTAGAGACTACTATATTAAACTGAACAGATAGACACAGATCAGTGAAGAAATCTCGACTGGACAGTGCTCTTTAGATACTCAATGAATGGATTTTAACTACTTTACAGTTTCAGATTTATGGGAAACCTGTTATGTAGTTTAGCACTGATGGTTATAGTTTCAATTCTGTCTAAGAGATGAATTTAGGGTTCTATTACATCAATAGAAAGAAAGAAAATATCATAACTACTTAAGGAAAATATGTATCTGTAATAAGATGACATATGGTCTAGATGATCTTTAAAGATATTTCCAATACATTTTTTTCTGTGATTCTAAATTTAATTTGCTATGTGGAAAAAAAAACAACAACACAACCCCCCACCCCCAAAAGAACCTCCAGAATATTATCCTAAAATGCTCAACTTGTTCTCCCAGCAAGTGGCGCTGTTGTCACATGATAACAAGTGAAAGGGTTGCTTCTCATAAATGATCCATCATAAAATGGTTTACAACAGAGGCTCTGGAAATTTCCATTCAGGAATGAAAACTTTGTGGTGATAGATTCCACTAAAACCAGTTTGCTTCTTTTCTAAAGTACCCAGTAATTCAAATGTGACTACAGAACCTCACTTCCTCCTGTTTGTTTTTTTCTTAAATTGACCATGTATACATTTAATGCTCAGAATTCAGACAGCTAATGAACATCAGTATCCTGCCACTTGATAATCAATTTCATTTCATTAATTTGTTAGAGTTCATTTACTTAGGAACTTTCTAGTGAGTACCTGTGTCTCTGCTACACACTATTCTAGGCACACCAGGGTGACAACAATGAAGATATTTCACTTCCTAAATCTTGCCCTGTAGCCAAAAAATCTTTTTCCAAGGGATAAGTTGTAGGCATTTTGCTATAGCTTTCTTTTTGAAAACATCAGTTTAAAAAATAGCCTGTTTTTTCATATAGAGTACATCAGACAGACCTTGGCTTATATTAATCTTCCCTCAGTTAAATCCACTGAGTTTAATCCACAATTGTAACAGAATTACTAGAACAGCACTTTCTTCTTAAATATTCCAGGCAATTAACCAATTTGCCAATCCATATAATAGATGGTCATCCTCACAAATGGGGAAAATACCATCACCACCTCTCTCATTGCTATTTAGGGAAATTTCTAGTCACCTTACTTAGCAATGCTCAGAAAGAAGATTCTATTTAAATAGCATCCTTTTATGAGTCTAGATGTGGTTATATTTGTAAGTAACATACACCTTTGAATGCTTTGTCATCCTAGTATGGCAAAACCTCAAATTGTATAATCAAAGCTGGTTAAGTGACATTTAATAGACCCTACCTTCATGAATGATGGATGTAAACTTAGCTTGATGAAACCATCTTTTAAAAATGGTAACCATTCTCTCTGTTTTTTAACTTTCAAACTTACGTATTTTGTAGACTAATCTCATATTGTCATTATATTACATTTTGCTTGGTTTTATTCAGTAGAAACACTGGCTAGACAGTGCACATTGCTAGCACAATACATGCTATGATAAAAGAAGAAAATGAGAGGAAGGGAACAGGGAAGGATAACTATTTTTTATTCTGGGTTTGTAAAGGGCTGATTGACATGGTCTGATACTCCATGTACCAGGCTAGAATGATCAGTCATTAGCCAGACACTAGGAGCTCCTGAACAAGGGATCAAGATGTGCTTAGGCTCTCTATTCTGGGGCACAGGGTTGGGCCTTTATAATATGATAAAAGCCCAGCATTAGGGCTTCAGTGTAAGACCAGGTCAACATCAAAAGCAACTAAATAACAGCTCCCATTTTAGAGGGCTTGCTAAAAGCTAGGCATTATGCATTAGTGAATTATAAGCATCCTCACAACTCCTAGCCCCATTTCACAGATGAGGGTGAAGAGGGGTTAAGGGACTTGAAAAAAGGCACACAATTAGTAGATGGTAAAGCCAGAGTTTAATGCGGAAGTCAGAGCCCTTAACCATTACATACTCTGCCTTCCATTTTTTTTTCATTCAGTCCCAAAGCTCTGGCCTCTGGGTCCTAAAAGCCCCCTGCCTGATTTCCTAGTAGTTCTTGAAAAGTTGAGCCAGATATAAGTCTGTAGGTCAAGGGTCTCATTGTGACACTGGGAGGCTGTGCCAAGTTTAGGCCTAGACACCACACAGACCTTTCCCTAATCATTTGAGCCAGACTGAGACCAAACTTGCTGTTTCTAAGGATGAGTCAGCCTTGTGCTGCCAGTGATGTTGGTGGGCACAGAATGAACCTTCCCATGAGCTCAACTTGATATGGCAAATGAACTTTTTCTTTCCTGAACTGAGAATATTTTGGACCAACTTTGTCAGTAATGCTGGTAAAATCTTTCCCTGTAATGTGGTAGGGCAGAGGAGAAGCTGCCTGGACTTAGGACAACACAGAATGCTCAGGTACTTGTGTATGTTTCTGTTTTTGTCTCTTTCTTGATCTTTCTTTCCTGCCATACTAGTTTTCTATTGCCGAGTAACAAATTATCACACATTTAGTGACTTAACATAAATTAATCATATCATAGTGTCTATAGGTCAGAATTTTAGGCACAGGGTGCTGGATTCTCTGTTCAGAGTCTCACAGCACTGACATCAAGGTGTGGTCAGAGCAAAGGTTTTTTATCCGGGGCACATAGATCTTTTTCCAAACTCACTTGTTGTAGGCAGAAATCAGTTCCTTGTGGTTGTTGGACTTAGGCCTCAGTCTTATTGCTAGCTGTTAGCTAGGGGCTGCTCTCAACATCCAGAGACTACCCAATTCCTCGCTATGTAACTGCCTCCATCAGAAGTTTTAGCGTGAATGTTGACTTTCTTCCAGGCCAGGTGGAATGCATCTTCTTGACTTCCTATTCCATGACCATATGGAAAAAACTCTGTACCTCTGTACATCATGCCTGATTAGATCAGGCCTAGTGGATAATATTCTGACATTAACCTCAAGTGATTTGGGACCTTCATTACATCTACAAAATTTATTCATAGGAGAACCTAGATTAGTGTTTGAATTACTGGCAGAAGAAGTATGTACCTCAGAGCCATAGAATCTTGGGAGCATCTTAGAACTCTTCCTACCATACTTATTAATGGCTCATAGTCATCAATTTTTATGTTTATTTGTCTCAAGTTTAATATATAATAACATAGTAATGATTGTTTTTGTTATTTCATCAAACATATATACTGCTTAATCTATGACTGTATGTCAGCATGGCTGTAAGAATTTTACAAACACCAACCCCTATAATATTCATGATACTCTATGATAGGTACTGTTATATCTATTTTACATGTAAAAATCTGAGGCACAGAGAAGTCAAGTTCATACGACTTCTGTCAAGAGACAACATGTTTCCTTTAATCACATCATTATGAATTCATCAGATTTGGTGCTAAAAAATGAAGGCGCACATGGGGACAGGAAATTAGACTTCTCAGGTTTGACTCCATTCCTTTTGGGGACTCCTTAGCAGTTTAAGGCCATTGGCATTCCTGCCTAGGGGGTGATGTGGTAGTAGAGTGCTGTTCTCTCTCTCATGTTGTCCTTCATGAATTTTCTGTACACCTTGGTAGGTCAGTTCCAACTAGGAAGATATTTTATTAGAGGATTCTCTATAGTTTCTGGAAACCAGAAGGGAAGCTGAGTAACATGTTTACAAAATGCACCTAAGTTTGCCACAGGTCCCCTCCCGGCCTAGATATTGACCATCTTCCTCGGGACAGAAGACATCAGTCCCTTGCCTTTCCTGACATCTCTTCAGTGCTCATCTCCACACCTGACAGAGTGAAGTTCAGAGAAGGACAGAGCTTCCTTTCTGCTCAAAGCCCAGCTTCCACACCCTGGTTTTCTTTCAGATTCCCTGGTGATGTCACTATTAAGTGTGGAATGGACTTACTCTATGATCAAAGAGGCCAGTTCTATCAGATGGTCCCCCAAACAACTTCAAATGCCAGGGGCACATAACTTTGGAGGCAGGATAAGGGGCCTTCTGTTAGATGCAATCTGGAGACTTGTTCTGGTGAGCGAAAAACAGGCACACTGAGGGCTTCCTTTGTCTTCTCCCATCTTTCCCTTCAAGATATTTGGGCTGGCACTAAAGAA